CATTAAGACAAAATAGCCTGGGCCCTAGACAGCACTTCATCTGTCTTTCCTTTCAATAAGCACCCAAACAAGTCTAAGGGAGTTTCACATGAAGATACTCTTACAGTGTTTAAGAGCATAATAAATATTACAGCTTGTATAAGCTTAGTACATGTTGGGCATTATCTTGCTGCTCTCATGTTGGTAATATCTGTTTAATATGTGTAAGTAATTTAGCCCTTGCCAAGTATATAATTTTACTAAAAAGACAAGAAATTTTCATATCTTTCCTGATTGTATCTTGGGTATACTGTTGAAGGAGGTATTTTCCATATTTGGAATGAAGGGAATCTAAAATATTTTATTGTGGCAACTGGGGACCTAAATCTTCACAGATCAAACAATTTCATAGTGTAGCTGGAGATTTCCACAGTAGTCAGGTTCTTAAAAAACAAAATCAGTCCCTTCAACATCCAAATCGATTTTGCATATATCCAAGTAATCCACCATCCAAAGTCAAACACTGTTTTTTGTTTAGGATTAAGTCAAAAACTATAGAAACAGAAAAATCAGCATCTTTATTGTCATGCCTCAAAATTCATTTTAATGATGTATCCAATTTAATCATTTGCTTAGTTTGTAGTGTTAATTAGAGTGTGTTTGCCTATTCTTCATATCAATTCCACACTCATATGATAAACATTTGTCACAAGTGAGGAATGACTTTGAAAATATTGTAAGCAATAGAAGCATCATTGGGATAATTTACATGGATATATGTCTTAATATTTTTAAATTCACAGAATTCCATGAACAGCCCTTACTGAGTTTTTCAAATAATCTCAACCCTATGGAATCCAGTCTAACAAAAGTAGTTATTTTTTTATGTGTGAAACACAAGATCTACAATTTAAAAAACAAACACAACATGATGTACAGAGTTCTCACTGAGCTTAATGTTTAGCAGGGAAATAATTACATAATTACAAAAAAGTAATTTATCACCATTATAATCATAGTAATGATTTGTGAGTATCCCTCTGAGTATCTTGAAAGCTTCTAAATCTTTCCCTTGTTTTCTTTAGGAACTTGCTCAGGTATTTGAATTTTAATCAGTAGGTACGCGTATGTGGTTTTCTGTCTCATAGCATTTCAGAATTCACAAATTCAAGAGCAATGTGGAAGGAAAAGCTCTTAATGAGACAGACATCTAACAATAACAGAAGTGGTAACAGACAACTGAGCTCAAGGAAGAAAACAAGATTAAAAGGTATACAGACATATAAATACGGCTTAGCTCCATATTCTGTGTTCTTCATACTTGTATCTTTAGGCATAAAATTCATTCCTTAAAAGAAATTGTATCTGAAGTTAAAAAAAAGAAACCATAAATTTAGGGCTACTTTTGTTAGGGTAGAAGATCGAGGAGGGTGCTTTTCTTTATAAGCTCTTGACATTTTTTGATATTCAATGACCCCTCATTAACTGGAAGTATGTAGATTTTACTAAAATTTTGGAATCTTATGTCAAGCCTCAAAAAAAAATTGAAGTACTATAAGCCTTAGTAGAGAAATATAATTTTACCTCCTATCGCATATGTAACATTATTTACATAAAGCATTTGTGTTTTAATAGAAAGATTCTAATTCAAATCTGTGAAAAGAATAAGATTTAAGTGTTATGCAGGTACTTATGTCTTGCCCTATGAAATCACCAAATATCGAATGAGGAAAGGTTAACAGCCTTGGAATTTTGTGAGTTCATTTGCAGATATTAAATTTTTGTAGCATTGATTACCATTATGATGACAATAATACTTAGGGAAGGAAAACTAAATAAAAGCAGAGGGGCATTCTTCTGGTATTTACTAGTGATTCACACTGTCATTTAATTCTCAGAACCTCCAATACAAAGGAGAAAACCAAGACTCAGGTTATAGGACACTCCTATTCTCATACATCTAGTAAATTTTGGACTAAGAGAGAATTCAAATCCTAGATATTCTAAGTGGGGCTCATCACAGGATAATGCTGCTCTTACAGAAGAGACAAAATACATGAGCCACGAATTACTGGGATCTCTTGTTTATGCCAAGATACATGTGAAGGAGAGAAGAAAGCAGATGATTACTGTTAAAATTTATTGAAAGCTTAATTTGTTTAGACAGTATAGTAAATATTTTACTAGCATTCATTCAGTTTATTTTCACAACCTGTTCGTAATGGTTGCTGCATTTCTCTGCGTATGACATATTAGAAAGTGATGGTTAGGAGCTGAAGTTTCTTCCCCAAGATCCCAGAACTGCGGAACCAGAATTCAAGCCCCGCAGGCTCAAGTCAAGTACTAAGCGTTAGTCTTAATACTACGCTATACTGCACCCTGGGTCTTGAGGAAAAAAGAGAACTGAACTTTCAGATTTGTTGATAATTGCAGGAAATTATTTCAGTGGGTCCAGCCGTAACTGAATACCAGGCTCTTCAACAAGACATATTCCAAGCATGCCTGACAAAATTGCCTTGCTTTTCTGTTCAATTGGCTTTATTCACATAATCAAAGATTATTCATCATCCTAAGTGCAGGCAGCATGGGACACTAGTTTAGGATAAAAGGATTTTAAAAAGACTCATGCCTTTTCTTTTTTCTCTATTCCTTCTCTTTTAGAAAAATAATAATTTATCACAAGGACACTGATGAGCAATTTATAACCTTTCCTGCTCTGAGCAGGAAAAATATACTCAATGGCAACTTTTTAATCAAATGATTTATTTATATATTCATTCAATTAGCTAACTACATAGATCCTCTAAAGCAGTTTTTCTCAGCCTTTATTTGAATTATGCATCATTGGTCAAGATTTCTCTGAGCTCTGCATTCTGTAGTTTACATAATGAGAATAACCATAATTTTTCAGCTATAAAATGATATTCTAATATTGCATATGGTCTTTAAAATATATATATGTCACTCTACCCTGCTCCACCCCAGAATTTCCACCGTCTTCTTTTATCCTCTCCTGTTTTTAAGAATCCCCGTTGAAACACTAGAATATTCTTTTTAAGTGACATTGTTACTTTCCCCACCTCTCAGGACCAGATTCTCTGTCTTCCCTCAATTCTGCCCTCTGTACCTGCTCCCGATGGGATGAATCTTTTTTTTTTTAAGATTTTTTTATTTGACAGAGAGAGAGCGAGAAAGCACAAGCAGGGGAAACTGCAGAGGGAGAGGGAGAAGCCGACTCCCTGCTGAGCAGAGAGTCCGATGTGGGGCTCCTTCCCAGGACCCTGGGATCGAGACCTGAGCCGAAGGCAGACACTTAACCAACTGAGCCACCCAGGCGCCCCATTTGATGAATCTTTTTAAAGTCCTCCAGCATTTAAACATTTTGCTCATAAAAATAGAGCTTATATTTCCATAATTTTATTCTGTCCTGTGATGGACATAGCATGGAAAAAAAGTTATCTTAATCATTGGAGGTATGGGATGCGGGTGAGAAAAGAAAGACAACAGGGCTGTGGTATTCAAACCTTATCCACTTGGCTAGTCTTTCTCCAAGAAAATGAGCAAATTAGACTTACTGATTCTAAACATGTTTTACTGCACTTCAATCACATATTTTCAAGAGGCAGCAAAAAAAAAAAAAAAGCAAACAAGAAAAGAAAACTCATTTCCTTGGTCTACTGTGGCAAAAAAAAGAAAAAATTTTCCTAAACTTCCAATTTGCAAATACTGTTCTGTACAAATAAACATTAATGGCTGTGGTTTTGTGTTTGAGAGGTTCTGTCAGTGTTCAAGGAATATGGGTTCATGGATACCAAGATTACCCTATGTAAAGCAAACTGGGGGTCCTGGATATTAATCTCATAGCTGCGATGCATGGAGAAGGCCCAGAATGGGATGAAATGATGCATTCTCCTTCCAGGGGAAAGGAGAGGGTGACAAGAAAGTCAACCTGTGGGATATCAGAGGCATTGTGGGAAATTCTGCCATAGGGAAAGGGATGGGTAAGGCAGCTGAGAGAAAACACCGGCAGAGGTCCGGACAGGTCAGGGATGCATGGGGAAACATCACATGAAGGGGGATGTGTTCGTTCTGTTGGACAGAGGGAAGAAATATGTGGCTGTCCATTGCTATGTAAGATACAAGATTTCACAATTAACTAGAGGTGGCCACAGGAGGTGATCAAAACACACTTCTACACTCATATAGTTCTTTATTTTCTCCAAGTTTTTATTTAAATTCTAGTTAATATACAATGTAATATTGGCTTCAGGTGTAGAATTAAATGATTCATCACTTACATACAACACCCGGTGCTCATCACAGCAAGTGCCCTTCTTAATGCCCATCACCCATTTAACCCATCCCTCACCCACCACCCCTCCAGTTTATTCTCTGTAGTTAAGTGTCTGTCTCTTGGTTTGCCTCTTTCTTTTTTTTCCCCCTCCTATGTTCTTTTTTTTTGTTTCTTTTTTTTTTTTTTCATTTGTTTTGTTTCTTAAATTCCACATGCACTCATATAGTTCTGAGGCTAGTCCAAGATCTAATCACTTACTTCCTGAGTCAATTTCCCTTTCTCTCTAAACTTCAAGTTTCTTTTTTTAATTTGTGAAATGGGAATTATAAAACCTATTTCATAGGATTGATGAGATAAATTAATTTAAATGATGTATAAACATTCCTTACTTGCCCAAGGGAATTAACAATTCAGTGCCAGCTATTTTTAGAATTAAATGAGGATGTTACCTAGAGAACGTGGCCACAGGAAAGGGGTTGATGGATGAACAGGGAGAGAAGCCCTTAGGTACCACCCCCTGAACAAACACAGAATGAATCCAAAGAAAGAACATTATCTTACTCCTCATATAGCAGAGAATGGATGCTCATATGGTAAGAAATGCATTGTTAAACATAATAATATTTTTCAGCTCATCCTTTATCTCGAGCAGAGCTCTGAGATTTCAGTCATTAATGTGTTTAATCTTACCCAAAGAAATGTATTTGTTAATATTCTTATTTTATAGATGAAGAAACTGATGACTGAAGACATTAAGAAGTAATCCCCTTGGTCACTGAGGTAAGCAGAGGAGAATTTGGAGGGAAGGAAGCCTCATGAGAGAGTCTACATCTCAGTCAGCTAAGATGCTGCCTCTCAGGAAAAGATATGGGGATACATATATTTCATAGTTACACTCAGACCATTGAATTCATGTTGTTTTACATTAGTTAAATGTATGAATTCCTGATGTACACAATGTATCTACGTTTCAGTTATCCTACAGAATGCTGGAAGGTAAGCATAGGGAATATGGCCAAATGTAATATTCTCAGTCTACCTCTCACTCATCTTCAGTATCTCCGTCAATTGCGTCACTGTCCCTGTTGTTGTAAAGTCTCAAATCTAGAAGCTGTCCTTCATTCCTCACTTTGTGTCACCCTCTCCATTCCAGTCTCAATAATCCTAATGATTCTGCCTGGAAACACATCCCAAATCAACATCTTTTTTTTTGATCCAAGGTGCCCACCTTAGAACAAACCACCACCCCCTTTCATGCTCACAAATGTAACTCTTACCAGCCTATCTCCCTGCCACAGTTCATTCTCCTCACAGCGGCCCGATCCAGCCCCTGCCCACCTGTACCATCTCCTACCACTCTTCCCCTCCCCCTCTACATTTTATCCACACTGGCTTCTTTTATGGTCCTTGAAACACAGATCATTTCACTTTCGTGCCTGAGCTTTGCATCACTAGTGTCTTTCTTGTCATTAAGTTTTCAGGTTAAATGTTACCATCTGAAAAGAACTCTCATGACCACTCAATCTCAAGTAGTGCTATAAATGACAGTTTCATTTAAAAATTACCCAGAGGGGGCGCCTTCGGCTCAGATCATGATCCCAGGGTCCTGGGATCGAGTTCCGCGTCGGGCTCCCGGCTCAGCGGGAAGCTTGCTTCTCCCTCTCCCACTCCCCCTGCTTGTGTTCCCTCTCTCGCTGTTCTCTCTCTCTGTCAAATAAATAAATAAAATCTTAAAAAAAAAATTACCCAGAGAATTGTAAGAATGTACCAATGAAAATGTTTCAATAGTAAGGGGTTGTTAATTTTTTAGGTGGGTTTTTTAGGAAAGCAGGTATTGGGTTAGTTGAGAATAAAAATTTTGCCAACACTCTGTATGTTTGAGGCTCACTCTACTTCTTGAAGTTTAAATCTGTTTAAAAGTGAGAAATTTATTTCAGATCAGTCCTGAGCATGGACACATTGCTTGATTTGGTTTCTGCAGTGAGAGGTACTCATCACTAAGCCTTGAATTTAGAGAGGTGCTTTAGTGCTTTGAAAATGATAACAAAAATTGCTTTACTTCAAAAATAAATGCTTCTCTTTGCCCAGCTCTCTCCAGAGCCTTCTACAGGAGTTAATTAGACCAAAGAGATAATTAGGGCTTAGGAGGGGAAAAGAGAAATAAAATAACTGGCAGACAGGGAATTTTGTGGAGTTTTTTTCCCTTTCTTTCTTCTTTTCTCCCTCCCTGACTCCTTCCCTCCCTGCCTGCTTTTCTCTCTCTCTCTCCTCTCTCCCTCCCTGCTTTCTTTTTCTTTCTTTCTTTCTTTCTTTCTTTCTTTCTTTCTTTCTTTCTGGCCTTGGGAGAGAGAGAGAGCACCATAAGTTCTTTGGACTCTGTTCATATGTTTGTTATTAAGGAGTTGAGATTTGCTGAAGGAGGTTATTTAGCAGGGACAGACATAAGACTGGCTTATCCTGCTTGGGGGAAGGATATAGAAGTATCTCATCCTCTCAGGGATCTTCTCATTCACAGCAGTAACAATCTCTACAATTTATTGAACACTCTCTCTTTGCCAGAACTGGGCCAAGCTCTGCAAAGCCTATTGGATATGTTGGGTTTAATTCAACCCTCATAATTCTATGGAGTTGATATTATCATCTTCATTTTATAAGCTCAAAAACCGAGGCTTAAATATCTCTTATAATTTACCCCAAAGCACTCAGATAATACAAGGGAGTTGCAGACTGAATCCACCTTATCTATGTTAAGGCCCTTGGTTTAACCATTTCACTACATTACTTCATGTCTTTGTCAATCAAGTGTATGAATTAAAGTCCTCACAGTTTATTTTTCCAGATCTTAAGAATTTTTGTGCGAGAGGGAGGAGGCAGTAAAGATCACGCTCCAAAAGACTGAATAGCTTTGAGAAGATGAGGGGGTGTTTGTGGTCAATACATGGGATACACTCCCATCCCATGCATGTCCTTGCCTGTGACATCATGATAACTAACCACAACAAACTGGACAGAGCCATTTTTCATAAACCAGATCCCTCCTCTCTTTCCTATATGTGTGTGCGTGTATACATACATCCGTGTGTATAACTTTACACTGATTTCAGCTTAAATCTGAGTGAAAAATAACAGGCATTATGACATAAAAAAAGATGATGTTGGATCCATACAAGGCCAGGGCTCCACTAGATGACTTTAAAATGTGACCTTTCATAAATCACTTCCCCCTGTAGAACCGCAGTTTCCCTAGTAGCCCAAGAGGAGGCTGGAGAAGATGATCCCTTAGGCCGTTCTTCAGTTGTGGAAGTGCAGAGAGCATGAAGTGGGCAGGTAGGGCGTGTCAGCTCTGCTCCGCCCGGGGCCCCTGGCATTCCTCACCAGCCTCTCTGCTCACTGGTGCAGCTGTGATCTTTACTTTCATCACAACTTTCATGTACTCTGGGACAACATGTTTGCTCCGATTCTTACCCCTGCCATCTGCTTTTCCCAGTTGTTTAAGATTAACTTCGGTTTTGTTAGTTCTTTCAAAATCTTATGTCAGTTAATTGCAGCTGATGTGATTTTTATAATAACCTTTAAAGACTGCTGCCACACTTCCCTGGGGTTCCTTTCACTACAACCCTTCACTTTTGTTCTCCAGACACTTCTGTTGGGTCCCTTCCCGTCCTACTGGAATGGCTGAGCCTTCCTCACCCCCCTCTCCTCCCCACTTTCTGCCTTCTCTTTTCATCCTCCAGACTCCCTAACAAAGTGAAATGCCCAGTTTGGTTTTCCTCCAGAGTTCATAATTCTCATATTATTAAGAAATAGTAATCATATCTGACTGCTGCATATATCTTTCTAAAAGTGAATGGTTTGAGCTGTCCTAAGTTAGTGGATACTCTAAAATGAGAAAGCAAAAACAAAACAAACTCAGTTATAAAGGTTGTTTTTTAGTACCCTAAGAGAGGGAGATATTTTATCATAGGACCGAAGATATAAGGACTCTTCTAGATATGTTGCTTACAAGTTCATTCATGATAGAATAATCACAGATTTTAGAGAAAGAAAATCCTTAGTTCAAGTGTCAACCTCACAGCTCACTGTCTGAGACCTTGAGCAAGTTATTGAACCTTTCTAAGCCTTTTATATTCATCCCTCTCAAATGTTGATTCTAACCCACAGATTTCAAAAGATGTTAAGGAATGTAGTCCCAGGACTTTGAAGATCTGCCAGTTGGCTGAGAATAGGAAAAAAAGAAAGGAAGAAAGGAAGGAAGGAAGGAAGGGAGAAAGAAAGAAAGAAAAAGAAAAAGAAAGAAAGAAAGAAAGAAAGAAAGAAAGAAAGAAAGAAAGAAAGAAAGAAAGAAAGAAAGAAAGAAAGAAAGAAAAGAAAGAGAAATAACATTTTAGCAGCTAATTCTCTGGTGGTATTCTCAAAGAATCGATCCATATGTCTACTCAGAGACATTCTTCCAAGTCTGAAACGAAATTCGCTTTACAGGTACTTTACCACTGGACTGGGAACAGACTGGAGCTCTTTCACATATACCTAGGACTCCCCACGTTTATTTGGTGATAAGTCATTTAAGAACGCATTATTTTAGAGCAGTGCAATGGCATGGTACGAATAAGTAAAAACCAAATAGCCAGGCACTGTTGAGATAAAATTAGGGTACATGTAGTTTTGTTTTGGGTTTTTTTGGTTTTTGTTTTTTGGTTTTTTACCTCATTAATTCTCTGGAATATCTGCTTTATACCAGACAGTAATAGTTCCTGAGGATGCAGTGATGAATAACACAAATTCCTTTCCCTCATGGAGTCTACATTTAAGATCTGCACTGGTTGAAAGGTCAAACCAGACCAGTATAGGTCACAGTGCTTCCAGCTCAGTGCTCATAAACAATGACCAAAAAGTGCCTGAGCGTGAACTTCAGGGACACAGCCTTCCAAGGCATGCTCATGTTATTTTTACTGAAATTTTCATTTGAGATTAATTATGGATTCACACGCAGTTGTAATAAATAATACAGAGAGATCCTGTGCTCCCTTCACCCAGTTTCCTCCAGTGATAACATCTTGCAAAGTGATACTAAAACACCAAAACCAGGAATGTGACATTGATACAATCAATACACCGATCTTATTCAAATTTTACCAATTGTACATGTGTTCATTTGTGTGTGTGTGTGTGCACGTGCATGAGTTTAGTTCTATGCAATTTTATCATACATGTAGGTTTTTGTATTCACCATCACAGTCAAGATGCAGTTTATAACAATACCCACTTCCCTTCGGTACCCACTCCTGGGAACCATTAATCTGTTCGATGTGTCTATTGTTATTTCAAGATTGTTGTACGAATGGAATCATACAGTATGTAACCTGTGGAATCCACTTTCTTTTTCTTTTTAAACTTAGCATAATTCCCTCAATATACATCTAAGTTGTTGCATTATCAACAGCTCATTCCTTCATATTGATGAATGTTGTTGAGTTTTTAGTATTCATCATAATTCATTTTGTCCTGAATATGCACATGTATTCTGGATCAGAGACAGATTAACGTTATTCACTTAAAAATCAAATAGTGATGATGTGGATGCCACCCACCAATTCTTATTCTTGAGACAGCATGATAGAAGTCAGGTCGAAATTCCTATACATACAAACTTAAAGGTCTGTACCATTGGTGAAGAATGGAATAAAATAGATTTTCTCTGTGTATGTACAAGAGAAAGAGGTAGCTGGCTCCCCCTTTCCTCCCAAAAGGAGAGAGAAAAATCTTTCCTCCTTGGAGAGGGG